CCTTCCTTCCTTCCTTCCTTCCTTCCTTCCTTCCTTCCTTCCTTCCTTCCTTCCTTTATCATTTTCCTCCCTCCCCTCCTATCATCTTCCTTCCTATCTTCCTTCTTTCCTTCCTTCCTTCCTTCCTCCCCTCCTTCTATCTCTATAATCTTCCTCCCTCTCTCCCTTTTCTCCGTCCCCTCCTCCTATCTCTATCTCCTTCCTTCCTTCCATCTCTATCCTTCCTTCCACCCTCCCTCCCTTTTCCTTCTTTCACCTTTTTTCCATCCATCCATCCATTCCCATCCGTCCCTCCTTTTTAGGGAATCCCTGATAACAAATGTCCAATCAACCATGGAACACCTCCCTTCGCCTGGGATAGGGCACCACTCAGTGCTCAAGAGTTCAGATGTGGGTTTGGAGCAGATCTGCTCAAAGAAATAAGCCGATCCCATTATACTCAGTTTTTCCTTTTCCCCTCTCATTCTCTCGTCAAAAGCCACTGAGTGGAACTTGCTGTATGTCGCCGTCACGCGAGCCAAGAAGCGTCTCATCCTGCCCAGTTTTTTTGCTTCTGTCCTAGAAAAGGCCAAGGTGAGTTAAAGCCATTAATGCAGATAGTTCTCGACTTACAACTTTTCATTTAGTGACCGTTCAAAGTTACAACAGCCCTGAAAAAAGTGAGTTCACACGAATGATGATTGCCGTCACATGATCCAAACCTGGACGCTTGGCAACCGGTTCATACTTATGACGGTGGCAGCGTCCCGGGGGGTCACGTGATCCCCTTTTGCGACCTTCTGACCAGCCAAGTCAACGGGAGTAAGCTAAAATTCACTTCACGGCTGTGTCACTGACTTAACGACTGGGAGGATTGACGTAACAACCGTGGCAAGAAAGGTCGTAAAGTGGGGCAAAATTGACTTAATCACTGCCTCACCTTGCAACGGAAATTATGCAGTTGAGGCCTACCTGTGTTCCAGTGCTGGCTAAGCACTTCTGGTGTTTTTTCCCTCAGGAATACTACGTACGGTTTGAACTCGCCGACAAAGTGCGCGAAACGACATCGCTTCGGTGTTCGGAGGACGACTGCGGCAACGCCATCCCGGTGGATTCTTTCCTAATCCCGAAAAGCATGAAGTTTGTTTACGTAAGTATCTCCTTTTAGGAAGTGACCAGCTCAGTAATACTATAACCTAGTAAAAGCTGCATCCAGTTTTGGTCACTGCGTTACCAAAAAAGATGTTGAGACTTTGGGGAAAGTGCAACGAAGAGCGACTAAGAGGGTCAACGGCCTGGAGACTAGAACGTGTGTTTCTGGTCAATTTCTCTTACAAGCAGGAGGGGGAAATATTTTCCTCTCCTGCCGTTGCTCCTTGCAAGGATGCTTTGGAGGCAGACTGCTCCCCATTCAGAGTAACATGGAGTGCTAGCACTGATGATGTTACCTGTTAGGTAATAAAATGTCTGTAAGAAAACAACCAAAGAGCACCAAGGACCCCACATTCCTCCTCCTCCTCCTCCTCCTCTCCACAAACCTCCCTCTCTTCTAACACCGATGATGTTCCCTAGTTGGGTCAAGAAACATCTGCAAGAAAACCACCAGACTGAGAAAGCACCCAGGACCCCACTGTCTTCCTCCTCCTCCTCCTCCTCCTCCTCCTCCTCCTCCTTTCCACAAACCCCTCTCCCTTCTAGCACTGATGATGTTCCCTAGTTGGG